CAATTGAAATCGAATTAAAATCACGCTAGAATCAATTGAAATTTAGCTAACATTCCTTTTAAAATGAATGAAAATCGAATTAAAATCCCGTTAGAATCAATTGAAATTTAATTAGAATTCCTTTTTAAGATCAATTGAAATCGAATGAAATTCAAAAGAGATTTAATTAAATACGGCTAAAGTTATAACAAAATCATTTAAAGTCGCATTCAGTTCTTGTATTTAAAATCCTTTATAAAACCATATGAAAATCAACCAAAACTTAAGATGTCAAGGGGATCCCTAATTCCTTTGGATTTTCTATTATACCCCCTTAACGACTTCAAAGCCCCCCTAATTCATTATGGTCTGGCCCCTTTTAAACGTAGTACAGCCCCCTTTTAAAATGCTCATGAGGAATTTTTAGGGCCCTGGATTTACTATTTATTATTAGGGGGGTGTGCTATTAATAGGGGAAGTGATTATTCCTGACGCCGGGGTAACCACAATTTGGGCAGAAATTTCTTGTTCGAGGACAGCTTTTGATCCGTTGCGCCTGTTTCCCATGGCTTGTAACCGGTTGTCGGGAGAGTTTCCCAGCACCAGGGATGGCTGCCAAGAAGTTTCGGTTTGGCGGCACTGGTGGAAACCAGATGGGCATGGTCTGCTGGTGTCAGGAGCACGTGCACGATACAGACGCGCTGCTTGCTTTCGAATCTTGCAAACACACACATTATTCGCAGGAGGCTGTTCGGCCAGTGCACTGACTGTTTGCTTATACAAAAAATGTAGCGTGTTCTCTGGGGTTGGGGATGCTGGTTGGGACTGTTTTTCGGTTTGAAAAAAAGCACGGTGGCATGCTTCGGATTGTGTGTGTCTTTGCAAAAACTACCGCATGCCAGGCGTGCGTGGCAGGTGCTATGGCCGAAAATTGCAGCAGTCGTGTTTTTGCGGGTTTGAGAATGAAAGCAATGTTTGACAATTCCCACGAACTGACATCCCATCATGCGCATGGTTTAGTGCGGAAGTAGCCGCAACAATTACTGATGGTATTAACTTGCCACAAACAACATAGTGCTGTGGTCCATTTAGGGATCTTTGCTATGGATCTCCAAGCCACAAACCATGGCACTTTTCTGTGATGCACTGGTTTACCCGCCCAAAATGCCCCCGCTCAATCTGTTTTGTTGCAGGAATTTCAAACTTTGGCTGATCTGCCGCATGACGCTCGCTTGTTGTATCTTGCAAATAACACTCTTGGCAATCAACCTTGGTGCCTTGGACACAACATTTTCAGGAGTTTGCACGCGTGCCAAGTTTCGGCATAGCTTTCGTTGCACATCCACGGCATTTCAGACTAGGCTTGCCTATCGTGTTGCGCGACCGTCGGTTCAAGTGATGGTTTGCGTTCACTGGTTGGTGGGGGAAAAGCTCTTCTGGTTTTCCAGGTTGGACAGACATGCAGCACGTGATAGTCATCTTCGGCATCCAATTGATGGCTTGTGGCATTGAGTTATTGCAGATGCTGCTATCGTTGGCAGGTTCTGAGCGATGCAGGCCTCTTTAGTCAAGCAGCTCGGCCAAAATGGGTGTTGTCACAATTCGCGTGTCAAACAATCCATTTGTTCAAGCTACAATGTTGATGGGGAGCGGGAGGTACAATACCCCGATATTGATCAGCACTACTGGTGCTGCAAAGGGGAAAAAAGACAAGGCGGAAGTGTTGACGTTGCGGTCGGACTAGCGATTTCTCCATGTACTCCAGCGACAGGAAAAGAAAAAGGATGCCCAACCGGCGATGTCTCAGACAGAGGCCTTTTGGTTGTTATTTTGCCAAACCACACATTAGGGGCTTCCGTTGCAGGACATCCTGAACTCGATTTTGCCGCCCCGGGAATGGACACAGGAGGATCAACTCTGGGTACAGCTTGCGATCTTTTCGTGCCGCTTTGCTTTTGCAGTTTGGTCAGCGGCCCTGGTTGTTGCCAGGTGCAATACGTTTCCAGTACACCAGCGACCCGCCTGCGACCTAGCCAGCTCTTGTTGCAATCTTGTCGTCAAGGATCCTTGTCGTTTCAAGTGCGGCAGGAGCAGATGTTGTCAACCTGCAAGAGGACTTGGACAAATGGCTGCAGCAGAGACAGGCCCGTCAAATGTAGACTAAATGTAGCATCGAAACGGCCCTTGATAGCCATCTCCGTTCATTCATGTTATAGACATCATCACTTGTGAAGACATTTCACAGTCAACGTCCCGGAGGCGCGCGAGACAGGCATATGTCCAATCCGGGAGGACCTTGGTGACATTTGCAGCTGTGCTGGGATGGTAGTGGTAGAGTTTTGGCAAGGAGCTATATTCTCAGTGCTTCGATGAGTTGATCCGCCAAGCCACACTTGCGTATTTACAGATTGCAAATTCACATGGCTGGTAGCAACTTGCAATGTGTAGGTGACAATCATTTGTGCAGAGCGTGGCCTGCTGCTCCTGCGAGTACGCGATGAAATCAGGCCACTGTGCGCAGCAGGCCAACAAAAAGGATAAAGCCAGTAGCAAGTAGAGACCGCTCAGGATGACAATCTGTGCCTACCAGAGCCTCTACGAGTCTTCCATAGCTTTCGGCATGCGCAAGGCTGACAATTTGAGAACGCATCAATGCCAAAGCCTGTGCGTCTCCAGGCCTTGCAGGCTGAGCAGCGCCGCAACCAGCACAACAAGAAGATGAAGGTCCGCGGATACCACAAGCAGCAGTTACTTCAGGTAGGCATCTTGAAGCGCACCCCACGCGGCTCTATAGGATCTGCAAGTGGCCAACAAGAAGCTCCGGGATGAGGTAGAGGTCGGATCTTGATTGTTGGAAGCATGATTGATTTCATGCTAGTGACTGCTAGTGCTGAAGTCCCGTGGCAGGAGTTGGAAAACAAGATCACGCAGATAGAGAAGCATGAGGCCGAGCGGCGGGAACAAGAAGAGCGCAAGCACAAGGAGGAGGCATCCTTCTGGACATGATGGAGATTTAGTTGCGAGTAATTTTGTGGATGCTCACTTTTTCCTTCATCCTTCAGGTTGAGAGCCTGAAGAAGCTTAATGCGCAGCGGAAGGACCTGTGCATTTTTTGTGAATCAGTTTGCGCTCCGTACTGGCGGATTTAGTGAGCATAGTCTGCTTCCCCAACAGCGAGTGCGAGCTTGCAGATCTGGTTGCATCAGAATGTTTCTTGGCCTGTTAGGAGCAGCTTGAGGCCATGCTTCAAGCTCCAAAGAAGTGATGCCTTGCTCCTTGGCTAGCACAGGTAGATGGAAGGGTTGACTGCAGGGTCAAACATGCATTTGCGCCAGGCATTCTGAGCAGCAACACGCTGAACAGCCCCATGTACACACTCGTTTCACCAAGAAGCCCAAGGGAAGCAAGAGTCACAACCTACAATCTGCAAGTAGGCAATATTGCTGCATGTGAATCAGCATGTTGCCTTCCCTCCGCACATGCCCACGGTGTCACCATCAGATGTCCGCGACTAACTGAGCGCACCTTTGCATGCCCATCCTGGACTGCTGCAGGATTAAAAACCAGCGGCGGAATTTTCATCTGTGTCTGGATGCTCACAGCCGTGGAAGGAATTAAAGGATGGCATGTGTGTTGAGCTTGGCCCGAGGTGTCAGCTTGGGGACCAGAGAGGAGATGACTAGGGATGACCGTAGATTGCGATGAGCTCAACTGGCGAGGTTACTTAACTTCCCAGAGCATTGTCTCCAAAGATGACGAGTCGCTCCTGGACGTGTTTGAATCCTCCCTATCTGGGGCCCCCCTGCCGGCACCCTGGAGTATGTGGTGCGACAGGAAGAGCAACGCCCTGTTCTTTACCAATACCTCCACTGGGGAGACCTCCTGGACCCATCCCTTGAATGCCTTGCTTGTAGAGTTGGCATCCGTCGCACAAAGATTTTGGGCATTGCCGCTGGGTTGCAGGGCTGAGCACTTAGCCGCCTTGAACAGGACGTGGGAGGCCGAGGCGCGTGCAGAGATCATGAAGTGGAGATCTGCTCTTGATGAAGGCTCAAACGAGTATTTCTACAACGTGGAGACACGTGCAACGATGTGGGAAAGGCCAGTCGACGCATTGCTTCCGGCATTCTACCTCAAGAAGCAGTACTTGAAGAATTTGAGTGAGTACTGTAGAGGTGGGGCGTCTCACTCAGGCTACAAAGAGATCAATCCTGGTGTAGACCAAGCTTCAGTGAATGGCTACAAACGATCCAGCCCATCCCTCGCTGAAGAAAGCGGTGTTTCTGTCAGCTGGGAAACGTATCTGACCACGAAGGAGGTTCTGAAGCTTCCTGAAGAAGAAGATCTGCTCCGAGTGTTTCAAGGAGTCCTGAAGGGAGCTCCTTTGCCAGCACCGTGGAGTATGTGGTGCGATAAAGCGACGCAAAGTCTTTTCTTCACGAACCCGTCCACGCTGGAGACGTCGTGGACCCATCCTTTGCAGGACGTGTTTCTGACTTTGGCAGAGGTTGGACGGAGATTCTTTACGATTCCAGTGGCCACCAGAGCTGAGCATCTGGCAGCTTTGAACAAAACTTGGGACACCGAAGCCAGAACAGAGATCTTAAAGTGGCAAACAGCATACGATGACCAGGACAGAGAGTATTTCTTCAATGCAGAGACTATGGAGGTCATGTGGGAGAAGCCTGCAGAAGCAGTACTTCCGGCTTTTTTCTTGAAGAAGCAATTCCTCAAGAGACTAAGCTTGAGCAAGCCTATGCTCAGGGAGCGCAGAGATAGCACTAGCCAGGAGCCAGATCGCAACAGTCAATCAACCATGGCTTCCACTACGAACTCTTCAGCGTCTTCACTCTCACGCATGCACGACACGAGGATGCGACGGACCCGAAGAAGTTCACGCAAGCTGTCAAATCACGCCTTGTTTGATGACAATTGGGAATACTACTTGACCACGCAGGGCATTGTCTATGTTCCTGGTGAGGAGATGTTGCTCCAAACCTTCCAGAGCGTGTTGAAGATAGCACCGCTTCCTGCACCGTGGAGGATTTGGAACGACAGGGCCAATGGCCGCTTCTTTTTTGTGCAAAAGTCCACGGGCATGACTTCTTGGCAGCATCCGCTGAACTATGTCCTAATGGAGCTTGCTAGCATTGCACGGCACTACCTCAGCTTGGACGAGGAGAGTCGAGCCGATCACCTTGCCATGCTAGGAAGTAAATGGGACAGCCAGGCGGAAGTCGAGATTGCAAAGTGGAAGTCTGCGTTGGATGAGGAAGACATGGAGTATTTTTTCAATGCAGAAACTAGCGAAACAATGTGGGAACGCCCTGAGGATGTCGTTCTGCCAGAGCTGTTCCTCAAGCGACAGTTCTTGTCTAAGTTGTCAGTGGCTATCGAGCCCAGGCCTTTCCAAAAGCCCGAGCCACTACATCCACCGCAGCATTCACAGCTACCTCAGCCACCAACGCCACCAGAGCCTCAGCGGGGGGATCCCGTGCCGGTCCAGGTTGTGCCTAAGGTGCCGCCGGTGCCACCTGAGGCTGCAGGCAAGCCTTCAGCTTATGCATCCTTGCCGCCATTGCCGGTGCCCTCTGCAGCTGGAGTTCCAGAGCTAAAGGTGCAGGTGAAGCCACCGCCTCCTGTTCGAGTGCACCACTCACCGACCCGGGTCAAAATCAAGTCCGTTTCGCCGAAGCCATCACGAGTCGGTGAAGCCATCAAGGTGACAGTGGTGCGAAAGACTGCCAGGAGCGTGTCACACGGTGCACCCAAGGCCTGTGTTGTCAAAGGTGCCGCAAAACGTCAGGTGATTTCATTTTGTAAGAGTCATTACATATTGCTGAGCGTGTGCCCCAAAACAGTGCTACTGGCTGCTAGCTGTCTCTGCCCCAAATTCAGCTGCAGATTTACTGAAGAACCTGAAAGCACTGCATGTTACGCCAGGTCAAGGTGATCTCACACAATGCGCATCCGGCCCCGACCATCACAGTGAGGACGCTAAAGGAGCAGGCCTCTCCTCAGCGTCAGGGTGCTGAGGGTGTGCCGCCGCAGCGTGCAAAGGCGGTAGCAGCTGCAGCGTCCGCGTCGTCAGCTGTTTCTGGAACTTCGATCGAAAAGCTGCAGGCTGCAGCGATGGCAGCTTATCAAGTGACTTCACCAAATGCTTCCGCGGAGGAACACGCTTCCACTGTACAACAGGTGCTCCATGAGGCTGCAGGACAAATTCAAGGTCTTACATGCAGCGGTGAGGCTTTGGATACGTTGGCCGAGAATGCTTATTTCTTTGCGGAAAGTGTTCAAAAGGCGCTAGAAGGCAACAGTGATCAGCTGAATCACAAAGCAGCTGCAGCCCTGGCATCCGAGGCCGCACGTGACTCCGGTCTTAGCGCTGCATGGCAGGTGGATGCCGCAATCGCGGCAACTTTGGCTGGCAGATTTGCAGGATCTCCAGCATCACCTTCATGTCCGAAGTCACAGCAGCTTAGTGAGGTCATTGAGCAAATCGCCCATGTGACTGGCGTCGAAGCTGAGACGCGTCAATCATGGCTTCAGAAGGCTGATCAGAAGTTGGCGCCCATGCTTGTGCACAAAGGCGTCATAGTCCAAAATGGAAGCCAAGATCTTGCAGCTACCGCTGATTCCTGGATGATGGGATCATCTCCGCATGCGGATAGCTCTCCACAATCAGGAACTGAAACGGCATCCATGTTCGGACAGGGGAGGCTTTCTCAGACAGGATCTTCAAAGTTTGTGGAATTTTGCAATTTCCGTGACGTTCGGCGAGCCATGGCCGAAGCAGAGAATTGCCTGGCGGCCTTCGAAGAGGAAAGGAAGCTGCAGCGCAAAGCGCTGCAGAGGAGGCGTTCACGCAACAAACTGCCAAGCGATATTCGTGATGCGATGGGCGAAGCGCAGCGCATACTCTTCGCGTTTGATGAGGAACGCCGGCTGCAGCTACAGCAGCTTCGGGTGGAAAGAGCCAAACCCCGCACTTTACCTTGAACTGCGCAGCCATCACATGCGTGGTTGCGTCATGGCTAGTGATGAAAAGCGGGTACACAGGTATGTCGTTTTCCGTTTGGAATTATGTGTTGATTCTTAAAAGAGCCTTGCTTCTTTAGCACCTGGTGTGGCCTGCAGCCTGACCATTTAGATTGAACACTTGTTTGAAGTACACTCAAGCTACTCAAGCTGTCACACTAAATTCGTGTGTGAAATTTTCAACCGGCTGCCAGCGCGGCAAGCCTGTTAATGCAGCTTCAGAGGTTTCACTGTAGCTTAGGTTTAGGATGAATTGCAGCAAGCTGCTTGCGAACTCAACAGTCTTGACTGCGAATTCTGTGAGGCATGTGAAGCCGAAAGAGGGAGCAAGCGTGCTCAGGTCAACTCCTGACAAAACAGATCTTCAGCTGCGAAGTCACGTGATTCTTTCATATTCTTGCACCAGTCCTGTCACAAGTAGGTACTGCTCACCATCTCTTTTGCATTTAGCCGCCTTGATCGAGGAAGGCCTTGCATAACTAGTAACTTAAGCACAACTGCTGCGGTATAGGGGCGCTCAGGTGCTGCAAGTATTTAGTTGTTCAAAATTGACACGCGAGTGCTAGTGCTGACAAAGAGTCATTGTTGCACGATGCATGCTGCTCCTGATGCTGCAGTGGGCCGATGCTGCCGAACAATACTTGGCGACACTGCAACGGATGAGCTGTTGGGTCAGCTTCTCCGGCAGCATCAGAAGGACGACTACGACAAGTACCTGCAAAAGTCAGACTACACTCAAGAGCCAGCTGACTTGCCAAGCGAGGCAACCAAAGAGCCAGAGGCACAGCAGGCCGTGACAAGTGAGTCACTTGAGACAAGTGGGGGCGGGAGCCTGCCCCCGACTTCTGCGGACAGCAATGCCGAGGAGGCAGACGCCTCGAATCATTCAGAGGCAGTGCTTTCCCAGAGTGACACCCCAGCGACAGTGGAAGCCACTGCAGTCGATGAGCCAATTCCAGGAGCAGAGGAAGCTGCCAAAGATGCAGCTGAAGAAGCAGAAAGTATCGCCAGAAAGGAAAAGCTTGAGGCCATCGTGCTTGGCCGAAAAGAGGTGCGGGACGAAGCCAGCAGGGAGAGATGGAAGCAGGTTGAAGATGATGATGACTCAGGCGATGAAGCGCTTGGTATTCTGTCCAGCCTTGGGCGGTCCATGAGTACATGGGCAAGTGTCGCATTCATTGGTTTCTCGTTCACGATGAGTAGCGACCCCACAGTGGCAGGGCGGCAAATTGCTAACCTTTGTAGAAGCAAAGGAGGCATTTACGTCAAGGCTGCTCAGAGTGCTTCCTCAATGGACTATGCATTCCCGAAGGAGATCCTCGAAGAGTTTCAGTCTTTGCAGGATTCTGCTGATGCACAGCCCTGGAGTGAAATTGCCGAGCGTGTGGAGAAGCACACGCCTGGCGGTATCAACATGATGTACGACTCGTTTTCTGAGGATCCCGTGAACGCTGCATCTATAGCACAAGTGCACGTGGCCCACAGGAAGACTGGGGACAAGGTCGCAGTCAAGAACCTTTGAGTTGTTGGGTAATTAGCTGAACCGGGTTCTAGCGAGAAACGCGGTAGTTGTCAGTGCAATCTGGTGCAGCTACTTAGGATCCTTCGCCGGAACATGGGAAAAACCTTCAAGCATGACGTAAGCGACTATCTGGGTCTCTTGGGAATGTACGAGTCCGCGACAGGCTGTCTGCCACTGCTGCGGTCCAAGCGCTTGTGGCCTACCATTTGTCAAAGATGTGAATCATGGCAGGAATTCCTGTCAAATGGATGATGGAGTGGGCCATGGAAGAGCTCAAGAAGGATTTGGGAAGCAGCTGGCAGCATCCAGCTTCTGGCTTTGCCAGCCAAGTTCGACAACATTTGAAGTTGTAGAGTCCTGAACACCAAAAGACAAAGGCTATCATCATAGTGGCTGAGAGGCAGCCTTGAAGTGTAGGAGGATGAGTAGACTTCCTGGCATAGACGCCTTGTGTACAGGAGCTCGACTTTCGCATAGAAGCCGACCTCCAGGAACAGTGTCACAAGTGCCTGACCAGCAAAAGGCTCACACAAAGCAAGCAGATTTGTCAACGCAGTGGGGCTGAGGTTCCTCAACACCCACAGAGAGCTTCAGGGGCGCCTGACTGTCCCAGTTCTTCATTCAGAGCTTTGCCGCTCAGCACCATATGCGGTGTAGAGGCCAGCATGGGCTACACTCAGGCTACACTTACCAGATCGTACCAGTACCCGAGGTTCACGACGGTTGCTGGTCATGGAGTACATTGATGGTTGCAAAATCATTAATGCTCCGTCTTACTTCGATGACTGGGATTATGCGCGAGATGTTCCAGCTCTACACGAAGCGCTTGACCCTCGGTGATCGCTTTAAGCTCCTGTAGTAGGCAGCTTGCAGGTTTTTTTAATTGGATCTCAAAATGTCTATGCGGGAGAGACTTTTTTGTTAGAGCACATCTCCTGGAAGGAGACATGGCACGCCATGCAGCTGTTTCTCACAGGAGCCCTGCAAGAATCAGAAGCTAGCCAACGACGGCGTAGGTCTTGTGTGCGAGTATCAAATCTCAATTATTGACTAGTCACAGTCTCGGGTCTCGACTGGGTTGGTTGCCTTTGTTCAGCAAGAAGGCAGTGAGATCTTGGGATCTGGGCTGCGAAGCTGTCCAGAAGTTACTGGGTTCAACTTGGAGCAGGATGCTTCCATGGTGATCCTCATCCGGGCAACGTCCTGGTAAGACGCCGCTCAGGCTCCGTGCCAAAGGGACAAAGCCCATTCCAGGCGGGAGTTGAAGCGTGATTTGTTGAGCTCTCGGAGCCGGATCTTTAACTTGTTTCAGGTGGTCGTCATTGACCATGGAGGGTACTACACGCTAGACGACGAGACCAGGAAGAAGTATGCAGAGGTTTGGAGCATGATGGACGAGCCCAAGAACGATGCACAGAAGATAGCCAGGCGGGCTCGGCTCAAGGTGACCTGGCTCAAAGAGACATGCGCGTAGCAGGAGCCATAAGGATAAGCAAGAAACATGTCAGGAATGATGGTTGCTTTTATCCCGCTTCGCTAAGCAAAAGCGGCTACGTTCGAGCTTGCCTGGCAAGCAACCCAACAAAAACTTGCATCCTCCAATGCCCTGACAGTCCCCATGCATCTCAGACACGTCTTTTCCGTGTGGAAATGATTCAGCAGACCACAGGTTGTGCATTTGTGTGTCTGGGTAGATCATGATGACTAACAACCCATATAGAGGGTCAGAATGGGAACCGTGATTCAGCCACAGTCTACGACAGATCTCTTGTCTCTGGTGTTGCAGGATATTATGGCTGGCTGGGGAGTGGGCCACACCTCACGTTTTGTCATTGAGCAGATGTTCAATGGCTCGTTTGGTGCTGCAGATCCCACTGCCTCGATTACGGAGAATGGCGAAGCTCGTCGGCACCGCTGGAACTGGATGCATCAGAAAACTGATGACTTGGGGCCGCCAATTTTCGAAGACACGTCCAAGATGCCACCTGCCCTCATGAAGGCGTTCGGGGTTGGCAATTTCACGCGGAACGCGTGGAGTGTTTTGTCCAAGGGGCGGAAGGAGCTGCGCGGCTGGGACTTCTGCAAGGTCCGTGTTGGCATCATGATCCAATGGGCTCGGAAGTGTCCGGGCGCGCGCAGGGCACCCTGAGAAAACCATGGCATCCAGCTTTTTTCTGCCCGCAGCGCGTACAGCGGTGTTGTTGCATGCAAGGATATTTGGAGCCGTTGGATTTTGGCTCATCTTCAAGCTTGGATGTAAGTTTTTGTAGTGTTTTCGTGTTTCGCTCCTTAGAAAGGGTGAGCTGGAAGGGGTGGTGCAAGGTGAGGGTCTGCCACCCAGCGTGGGCTGCATGCATAGTTGTGACGCAGGCATGTTCTGACACTTCCCACTTGCGTTGCACCATTTAGACTGGTAGAAGTCTGTGACTATGGCTGTGACTATGGCAGTGGTACATAGGCAAGCTCTGCCAGGTGTATTTGAAACCAGTCGATCTTGAAAACTGGTAGTATGGTCTGCAGCATGCATTCACATACTGCTTTGTACGGACCGGGCATGTGTCTTTGAAACTGAAAAAGCGAAGGCGTGCAGGACAGCGTTTGAAAGTTGCGGGTTGCGGTAGCCAAGTGCTTTTGACGTGAAGCACGGCTGTAATCAAGAAGCTCAGTTTTTCTGACTGGGTTTCACCTACTGAGCCATTCACGCGAGTTAGAGCACGTCTTGAACATGATGGGCGGTTAATGCCACATACCTGTCTCTTGCGGCATCTGTGCCAGTCGGAAGTGCAGAGACGCGAGAGTCTCTCAACTTGTATAGCGGTAATCCTAGTGATCCTGGATGATCCTGTTGTTCCTGGGGCATTCTGAGACTTAGGCCGAGTGCGATGGGGCACTGCCTCTGCATACATGCTGAGCAGGTGGCTTGCCCGGCGAATGCATCCCAACACACATATTCAATCATATTTCAAGCTGTTATGTTCTCAGGCTGACCAGCATCAGCAGGACATCGAGCCTTTTCCTGGCCGTCGGAACCCAAGATTCTTGCAGCTCCCTGCGTTCTCTTCGACTCAAAAGGTGGGTGCAATGCTCGAAGCAGATGTGAAGTGTGCTCGGACCGTCGTCCATTTGGCTTCAATGCTTACAGATGCCTCAATGAGAGTCCTAAATCACTCCTGCCACGTCTTATCTACCTGTGTCGAAAAAATGTGAGGTCAGGTCTTCGACAAGGGCCTATCAATCAGAATGCTCGAATACAATGCCACTGTAGTAGCAGCTAGCAGCAATTTGAGATCACACAAGCACCACAGCCATATGCATCCTTGAGAGCTGTTGTGTTCAAATGGCCGTGCCATGTCCATTCCTGGAAGCGGGACAGACTTCACAGGAGCATTAGCTTTGCTTGCGAAAGAGCCACATAGTGCTGGGTTGCTGTTAATGAACTTGAATTAAGTCACCATAATGGGTATATACATAGTAAATAATAGGGTTTCCCCAATATAGTAACTTAATTTAAGTTCCTTAACAGCAACCCAGAAGAGCCACATTGTGTCTGATGGCAGGCTTTTTCCATGCAGCCATTGCGCACCTAGCCTGCCGGCCAGATTGCAGCAGCCAATGGTGGCAGTTCGAGAAGGATAGTATGCCAAGCTGAATCACGTTTTATTTGTACTTGGGTGTTTCGCGTTGCTTGATGGCAAGTTGTTGGGATTTTTGACAGGACCCTGCGGTCAAGGCTGCGGACGTGCAAAGTATCAATCAAGCTGATGGCCTCTTGCTGTGCAGGCGACATGGGCAGCGCTTGAGCTGCAGCATCCTCATATTCCGAAGATGGAGGATGTGTGAATCCCAGTGGTGCACGTTGCAATGAACGCTTCCACAACTGAAAAGGACCGGTCTCGCAAGAGGTAGCACAATGTGTGTTCAGCTTGCAAGAAGCCGACCAGCGTCTGGCCCACCGTACTCGCGCCAGGCGCAGAGGTGGGGTCAAGCATCACTTTGCTGGAATCAGAACGGCGATGGGCAATGTAAAAGCAGAGGCTTGCCGGCTCGCATCGTGCTGTTGGACTCATTTTCCAAGATGCAAATCTTAGTTGAACCAGACTTCCTTCCTGGACAACGGCCGGCTGAGGGGTTCGATCATTTCTTGCGGCGGGAGATAGGGCAGAGTGAAGGGGGAGAAAGCAAGAGCTGGAGCTTGGTCTGCATATTCCAGACGCGTGTCTGCAAAAGGCTGAGGCGAATTAATTATTCTAAGCGCTGCAGGCTGTCTGTCACTACACCAGACGCTACTGAGGTGCTCGCTGCTCGCCCAGACCTCTTCAACCGCTCTCACAATGGCAAGAGCATGGTTCTCAAGCTGCAGGCGCCACCCTGAGCTGCAGAGAAGCTGAGCATCTTTTTTGTACAGAGGCACTGGGCCTTTCCTGCCTTCCGCCCGCTGCCATACCTCCTTTGGGTACGGCTGCTCCCAGTCCATTGGTGCCAAGTCAGGCTGCTTCTTGTGTGAGAAGCAGCGCGTCCATCGCGTGCACCCGCAGGGATCAGCGAAGTGGGCAGGCAACCGTGCTAAATCTTGCAGACTGCTGAAACGAAGCTTACATGTGTCTTCGCATCAGGTCCCTGGGCATCCAGAGCAGGAGGCTACATGACGAAATCCGTGGGGTGCTTGGCAACATGATCGGAAATCAATAGGACAAGGGCGTTTTGTCTTTGCTCTCTGCAATCTCTTTAACATTGTTCACTTTAGTACCATGTTGGAAGTGCAGGCAAACTGCTCAAGTCATGGCTGCTGCAAGCCACGAGTGATCATGACCTGTTTTCCTTATCGCATACTGTAATTTGTTCTGAGGCCCCAGGTTGTAATTCTGTGTTGTTTCGGTTTCATCTTGGTGAAATCTCGTACTAGGGCCAATCCTCTGCAACAACTCTTTGCTCTTTGCATTCAAGCAGATGTACCTCCACCTACCTTGTCCTCCCATGCAAGCTTGGTCTGGTCTGGACCATGTTTTCCCTTGCGGACATATGTTTTGTTCTTTGCATTGCTAGGCCGTCGACATGTTGCAGAAGTATGGCAGACAAGCGATTTCTTGACAGTGTTCATGTTGCTTTTTTGGGGGTCCTAGGTGTATATATATATATATATGGTCACCCCCCCCATGATCCACACTTGTGTTTCTTCCTGTTCTCCTTGTCCTAT